TTATCAGTTATAAGGGCATACATATGACATCGAGAGAAACTTCTTTACAACGGTAATATTACATCATTATTGATAAGAGATATCTAGACATATTAAGGGAAATGCTACTCTCCAGTTCAATATTGGACATAAGGGTGATGTTGGCCTATATTGGGTCCTACTCCAGGCCCATATCAATAATTCAAAACGTTTAATGTGTACCTAATATAATTAAGTAGTTATTGATATTTGATTAATGTGATTTTTTACATGAATTATGTATTCGATGAGCCTTACATATTGAACGATTTAGATTATCGAGATGAGCCTAGAATAGAGCCAACATAGGCTAACAACATCCTCTAGTCCGATATTGGATTGGAGAGAAGCCTCTCCCATATATGAATTAGTAGGAGTGAGTTAGATGAGATTGTAAGATTTATCATACGTAGCTAGGGGTGGGCGCGGATCGGTTGCGGCCACGAAACCTCCAATCCGCCATTCGTCCGCCAAATTGGCGGATTGGAAAAAATCAATCCGTATCCGTCTGCCAATTCGGCGGATGCGGATTTGGCGGATTGGCGGATGGATGCGAATCGGTTTGGCGGTTAGAAATTTTACAAATTTTCAACATAAACAAAAAAAAAAAAAAAAAACGCTTCATTTTTTTTCAGCCATATGATGTAGGACTGTTATTATCACTTAATGTAGGACTGTTATTTATTCAAATTCAAAATGCAATATCCAAGTTGATTTATTCATTCGCATCGCATCTATTAATCAATTTGGACAGTGCAACCTGGGCATCAAAAACCAAGAACAGAGTCACCATCCTCTTATAACAAGCATAAAAGTTTGCTCTACCAAAAACTTATCTGATTTTACCTTGACTGGATTCACTATCCTAATTATTGCCAATAGACTACAATTGCAGATGGCTTTTCTAGTACCTAAGTTTTAAAATAGTATTTCAAAGCTATTAGAACAAACTACAATTTTTTCAGAAACCCCTAACCTTGAATCTTACCAATTTAGCTCAGTGTATAGTTCTACATTTATCTAAAACATGAAGCACCAAAGTTTAATCAACCATCATATCAATTTCCCTTCTAATAGTTCTAATTTTTTCTGTACTTCACACTATGTTTGATAACCTAAGAGATAATACAAAGAATTTAACTTTAAAAAAGGCATTTCTTTATTCAATAATCACAATATATATATATATATAATCAGACACTGCACTGGATCGAAGTAAAATCTCAATTTTAAAAACCCTAAATTATATATATTTGATGATCATTCAATCATTCAAAGTTACGAAAATATTTAGAAAAATATAGTGTATTGTATATCTTTAATGCAATTATGTGACTGACATTTTGAAAAGAACAATTCACTTTGAGGCATTTCTTTGATTTAAAATGGAATGAGACAAATCTGTTATATTATTCTGTACAGAAAAAATAAAAAACCATCATAAGAACAGTCGGAAGGGGAAAGGTGAAAAAATCAAAAACCCAGAAAATGAGGAGAAGAAAAAAATCAAATAACCAGAAAATAGGGAGAAGAAAAAATCAAATACCCAGAAAATGGGGAGAAGAAGAGAAGAAAAGAAAAAGAGAAGAGAAGAAAAGGGAAGAAGAAGAAGAAGAAAGAGAGAGAGAGAGAGAGAGAGATACCTCAGTGTATATTGCCGTTTAGTATAGATTAGATCGATCGGCGTTGGTGTAGATCATCGGACGACGACGAGGGACGATGGGTAGGGGAGAGAGAGAGAGAGTCCGTCTGTGTGTGTTGTGTTTTCCACCGGAGAAATTAGGGCAAAATGAGGCAAATCAGAAACAAAAGGGGCTGCTGCTGGCGTAAAACGGAAAAAAAAAAATAATAATAATGTGGCATGGTCGGGTCGGGTTAGCTGGTTAAAATGGCGGGTGACTCGCCAACCGACCCGAACCCGAAATAATACAAAATCCTAGCCCGCACCCATCCGCCACTTACCACGCATCCATCCGTTTGTGTTCGGGTCGGGTCGGGTCGGGCCGGTCGGTCGGTGGATCCGCTACACAGCCCTAGCTATTGAACGGTAATAATTTGTACATGTTGGTGATGACGTGTATTATTGTTAGACTTCAGTTTTACTCACCTAATTAAAATTATGAGGGATTGACTTGATGGTCAAAACCTGGAGCCTAAGGGTGCACATCCTCTATGGTTTCTGATTCAAAATGTCTCATATGCAAACAATTTCTTGAGACAAGACACCTATACCTAGTTATATAAAAAACAAAGGGTAAATTACCAATAAGTCCTCTTTGAAAGAAATGTGGCCTATTTAGTCCAACAACCTTTTTTTTTTATACCCAAAAGTCCTGTAGCATTTTTCTTCTTCTCTACCTTCGTTCTTCTATCTTTTTTTTCTTGATTTCCGACGACCACGTCTTGCGTATTCACTGGTAATCGATGACCATTATCGATTGGGATTCACTAGCAACCACCAACTCCTTGTTTTACTCTTACCGATGGCGAATGAGGTGTGTTTCCAGCGAAGAAGATGAGCAGATTTACTCAAATCCGACATAGATCTACTCAGATCTTCATTAGATCTAACTAGATCTAAATCACAAATGATTGTTGGAGTAAAATCCTTTCTTTATATCTGTCTCTCTTTTTCGATCTTTCAATTTTTATACCTTTTCTCTACTACATACTTTTCTTTTCCTGTTTTAATGGGAAATTTTAAAATTCTGAATAAGTTGTTTTCGAGTTTTAATTATAGGCGGTGAAAACTGTAAAATTTGACAATTTTAGTTTTTTTTAGTGTTGAAATGAGTTATGCTTTAAAATTACAAAATTTTGCAGTTTTATAACATTTTTTATCACTGTAAAATTTTGCAGTTTCATAACATGTTTTTCAGTTAGTTTAATAAGGGTAAATGCTTAATAGATTTTTGCTTTGAAACTGTATCATTTTACAGTTTCAAAATTTGCTTTTCAGTTTGATCAATATTGGAGTTATTTGCCTAAACCCTACAAAAATTAAAAAATAACATATATTTTTTCCCCATTATTGCTGTTTGTTGTTATTATGTTTTTCTTTTCTTTTCTTTTCTTTAAGTTTATCAATATTTAGCACATTTTGCTATGTTTTTCCGCTCTAGTTTCTCCATTTATTCTTTTTTTTTTCCTGACAATGTTCTAGATATTCCAGTGTGTCTCCGACGATATTTTTAACATCCGACAAATATTTTAGATATTTCGGCAACTTCTAGTGACTTTCAGAACACTCCGATGATACTCCGATGATGTTGAACATTCCGATAAGTCTTCGGTGACCATCTAACGGAAGTTCAATGGTGGTAGAATGTAGTAGCATCTGTAAATTTAAAAAAATAATAATTTTGGTCACAATTAAAAATATATAAAACTAATCGGTGCAAGTATTTTATTTTGAGAATAGATGAGTTTTAAATTTTATGTATGGAATTTACTGGTAAGTTTCCCAAAAAATAAAAATGGGTAAATTACACCGATATCCCCTGAGGTTTATATTTATTACAGTTCTCCCCACACCTTTTGGAAATTACATATCCCCCCTAAGGTTCAAAGTGCCATTACAGATTCCCCCACTCAGCAATTTAATTTTTTTAAATACTAATTTTGCCATCACTAGGTAAATTACATTGACACCCCTCACAGTTTAGAAATTACAATCCCCTCCCCAAGGTTTAAAGTAGCATTAGCAATTGCCCCATCGATTAGTATTTGTTGGAAAAAAAATTCATTGAAAAAAAATTTTGTTAGCAAAATTTTTAAATTTCTGCTTGAAAATCAACGTAAACTCATTTTTTGAATTTAAATTTTTTTCTCAAATTTACAAACTGAGACAACCATTTATAAACTAAAAAAATTATCAAACAAGTTTTATGACAGTTTTTAAAATTTTTGTAAATATAAATTGAAAACTGAAAGCGAAATGGTTACCAAACAGGCTTCAGATGGTAAAAATTTCGTAAAATTAACAAATAATTAAAAAATTTACTAACGTAAGAAATGACTTATTAAAAGATACTTAGGCTATATATGGTTTGATTTTTAGAATTTTTTTTTAAAAAAATTAAAAATTAATTTGGTTAAGAAATAAAAAATAAAAAATAATTATCATTTTTATATAATTTTTATCTTTCGAGTGGCTAGAAATAAATTTTTATAAATTAAATTGAAACAGCCATGCGTATGTATTTAATCTGCCTAAAAGTTAAAATGATAATTATTTTTTACCCTTAAATGATCATTATTTTTTATTTTTTATTTCTTAACCAAATTAATTTTTAATTTAAAAAGAAGTTTCTAAAAATCAAACTATACATAACTTAAGAATCTTTTGATAAGTCATTTCTTACGTTGGTAACTTATTTAATTATTTATTAATTTTACGACATTTTTACTATCTGAGGTCTGTTTGGTAACCATTTTATTTTCAGTTTTTAATTTATATTTACAAAAATTTAAAAAACTGTCATAAAAACTTGCTTAATTTTTTTTAGTTTATAAATTGTTGTCTCAGTTTGTAAATTTGAGGAAAAAACGTAAATTCAAAAAATGAATTTACGTTAGTTTTTAAATAGAAATTTAAAAATTTTATTGACAAATTTTTTTTTGAAATAACTTTTTTTTCAATGAATTTTTTTCCAATTAATACTAATCGATGGGGCAATTGGTAATGCTATTTTAAACCTTAGAGAGGTGATTGTAATTTCTAAAATGTGAGGAGTGTCAATATAATTTACCTAGTGAGGGCAAAATTGGTATTTAAAAAAAATTAAATTGCTAAGAGAAAATCTATAATAAAACTTTAAATCTCAGAAAAGAAGATATAATTTTCAAAAAGTAAAGAAAGAACTGTAATAAATATAAAAAGTGACAGCGTAATTTATCCAATAAAAATTAAAAAGGGCCGGCCCAATTAGGAAAGCTTGAGAGCGGTCTCCGTTTGTTGACAAAAAATACACGGGCAGAAGTCTTACATGGAGCGTCGGAGGAGGAGCGCCCCGCCCAAACACAAATTTGAAAACCCAAGAAAGAAAACCTAACGGTTAGTACTACTCGCTGAAAGCCATTCATCTCCTTTTCTCTCTTTCTCTCTCCTCGACTAGCATCATCATCACATCACACTCTCTAATTTCACAGTTTTAGTCATCCATGGCTTCGTCGACAGCAGACCCAGTTCGTATCAAATCCAGCATGTCCTCAAATTCATCTCAAAAAGTCCGAATTGTAGGCAAAATTAGGGGATTTACAAAGGAAGAATCTGAAACTTCGGATGGAGATTCAGCGCCGTGGATCTCCGTGCGCAAACCTAACGAAGATGGTTCATCTCAAAAAGTGACAATTTCCTTTGGAGACCAATCGACTAGGTATTTTCTTCATTGATTGTATCTATCTATCTATTATTGAATCAACAGTTGAATATGACAATGACAAAACCTTGTAACCCCAATTTGTCTCGTATAATATTTTTGGTGTAGGCGTTGAAATGTCATAAAATTCCTGATTGACAATTTTATACGATTGATTTGGGTGGATTTGTTGTGCTCGTTGATTTAAAGTTAATTGTGTGCTTCATGACTTTTCTTAGCATTTAAGTTTAGGATTAGTTCTTGAAAATTGTTATACTCAGATAGATTAGACTCCATCACCGTTAAAAACAAAAAAGAAAAGAAAAGAAAAAAAGAAGAAGATTGGTATCGTGTTTGTGTTGGTCATTTCGTATTCGTGTCACAATTATTTCAATTCTAACCCAACTTGTTTATTATTTCGTGTTATTGGTCATGTCACGTGTCCGATTCGTGCCGTATTAATATGTCTGTCAAAAAATTTCACCATCAACTAAAAATATCAAGATTAAGTGTATGAAGAAATTTTTTTTTTCAAAAGTTAAATTTAATAAAACTAATCTCTATTGTATGAAATTATTCATAAGGGTATTTGATTTCAACTCAATTTTATTTTATTTTCACAAAAACTATTTTATGTTGTTATATATTTTTTACTAGAATAACTCAAGTAGTAAACAAAAAATACATTATCTCTAATTAAAAACAAAAACGAAAACTTATATTAGCCTTAATATCTTGTTTTACGTACTTTTTAATAAGTTGGATAGAGTTACATAATAGATTAAAAAATGTCATGACACCCATTAGTGGAAATAAATGTTACATGGACTTGGGTACGAGTATCAGGTGCCAGTGTGTATCGAAGTGGAAGATCTTTATGAATTTAAATATTAGGATCTTGGGATAAGTATCCAAAATTGGATATGGGTATAGGGACAGGACATATATACATATACATTGTGTATTATATAATATTCTCAGATGAAATGTTGTAAATTATGTAGAAATATACTAAAAATTAAATAGGATTTAGGAAAAATATTAAATTTTTATATCTAATTCATGTGAGGGACTAAAAATATTGCTTTACTAGAATATGTAAGTTTCTTCTTCTTCATATATTGTCACAAATTAAAGGATCCGAGTGTCTAAATTTACGAGTGTTGGACACATATTCCATACCCTTACCCATGTCATATCTGGTGGACACGGGTATGAGAATATATTGTGAATCTTACAAATTAGGCATGATTGTGGCTGTACATATTAGAGTCCTATTAGAGGCATGATTGTATTAGAGTCCTATTAGAGGCGTGATTGTATTAGAGTCCTATTAGAGGCATGATTGTATTTTCCTTTTGGGTTTAGGAGTTAGCGCTATATAATCTAAGGTTTGATTGTAATCAAATATACAGAAATATAGAAAGTTTACATGGTATCAGAGCTATCGTTCATTCTGGCTTCTGATTGATCGAAGTTCCTTCGTTCAAAGTTTCATCTGGCTCAGAATCTGCCTTCATTGAAATCGCAACCCCTTGAGCACCAGAATCGCGATCCATCCCATCTGGTTCGGAACTCCTCTAGTTCGCAATTGAACAACCTCCTCTGGCTCGTGGGACTCAACTTTTGGCTCACGAGGTGAGTTCTGGTTCTTGTTCTGGTTTTGGACTCGATCGAGTTCTCTGGTGGTCGGCCTATCTACGTGTGTTCATCGTGACCCATCTGAGTTCCAGTCATGGCCCGTCGACTGTGACCATCTGATTCGCGAAAATCCTGGCTGTCTCAATCTCTGCGTTGGCTTTCTCTCTGGTCTTTGCTCTTCGGTTTTGTTCTCTGTGTTCTGATTTCAGTCCACCTTGATCCCTCTGTCTCAACTTTGGATTATTACAGGTTGACCCCTTAACTTTATTGGGTTTTATCACGGTGCCCCATCAGTTCTCTTTTCTTTTATTTCTGGTTCATTACAATGTCGGAAAATAAAATCCAAGCTATTAAATGCAAGCTTACAAGTGACAACTATGCTTATTAGTCTAGTGTTCTGAGAAATTTTCTTCTCGGTCGAAAAAAATGGGGATATGTTTCTGGTTCTATTCCTCGTCCATCAGATCCCAAACAAGAAGACTATCTGAGTTCCTGTGACACTTGGGATTGTGATAATGCTCAAGTTTTGACCTGGTTCCATAACTTTGTGGATGGTCGTATCGGGATGTTCTCTAAATATAGCACTGCCAAAGAGGTGTGGGATTACTTACAAAGTGTTTATCAGCAGTCTAACTTTGCCAAATGGTATGAGTTGGAAACAACTATTCAGGGAGCTCGTCATCGGGATCTGTCTATTTAAGACTTCTACATTGAGATGACAGACCTTTGGGATCAGCTGGCTCTCATGGAACCATCTAGCCTCAAGACACTCGACGCTTATGTTGAGTTTCGGGAGCAAGGTCATTTAATGCAATTCTTAACGACTCTCTCCCCACATTATGAGGCTATTTGTGGTGGCATCCTTCATCGGTCTCCTCTCCCCTCTGTGGATGCTATTGTTTGTGAGCTCCTCTCCGAGGAAATCCGCCTTAAGACGGCCAGTCAGCCTCTGTCTCCATCTATCTTCTTGGCTCCTACTCCGTCTCCTCTGTTGTCGAACCCCCCACTTCATCAGCTTTAGGCCAATGCAAAGCCCAAGAAGGGGCCACTAGCCTCTGATCAATATGCTTTTTGCCATCAGAAAGGCCATTGGAAGTAAAACTGTCCTAAGAAGGGCCGTCAGTCTGCTCAGTCTTCTCAGCCGCCTCAGCCACAGTCTCGAGGTCTTGCTCCGAGTACTTTTCGCCCTCCTGCTGCTTAATATGCAGAACCCCCTTTAGTAAGAACAGGAGAAGGTCCCCAGACATCAGTATGTATAAGAGAAAAAGGGGAATCAGAAATAGAAGGACTGTTATTAAAAGGTAAAACTGTCATTTTAGGAAGTTTACATCCTCGACACTCATAAATCTGACTTCTACCAAATATATTGTGCCTTTCAGTCTATGATCACTACACAGTTTTGGGGCCACAATTAAAATACTCTGGTCTGACTTGGGTGGGGAATACTTTAAAATTGAATTCTGTGAGTATTTGGCCAAATTGTGCACCATTCACTAAACCTCCTGTACTGATACCCCTGCCCAAAATGGTCGTACTGAGCGTAAACACCGTCATCTCCTTGAGATAGCTTGATCTCTTTTTCTCTCTGCCTCTGTTCCGACACCATTCTGGGGTGAGGCAGTTCTTACCATTGCTTTTCTCCTTAATCGCATGCTGACTCCCTTACTCTTCGGTCGATCCCCTTATGAGGCTCTATATTCCCAACCTCCCAATTATTCCCTCTTGCGTGTCTTTGGGTCTGCTTGTTTTGTCCTCCTCCTTCGTAAAGATAGGACCAAACTCAGTGCTCGGTCTGTCTTGTGTGTCTTTTTGGGTTACAGTCTTACTCAGAAAGGCTACCGCTATTACGATCTTGTCTCTCGTCGCCTTTATGTCTCCCGTTATGTTGCTTTTCTCGAACGTCTGTTTTATTTTCAGCTTTCCCCCCTCACTGCTCCAGTTTCCAAAGAGGATTTGGTTTACATTGACCCATTTCGTTCTGAGGTCTCGTCTGACAAATACATCTCCATTGTTCCTCTTGAGCTTGTTCCATCTTCTCTTCTTGCTTCACCTTTAGCTGCTTCTCCTCCTTCGGCTTCTTCTCCTCCTCTGTTATTAGTTTATTCTCGTCACAAGGCTCCTCCACCGGTTGTCTCTGCCCCTGCTGCTGCTCTTCCTGCTTCTGATGACATTGATCTTGCTGAACACCAATATCTTACTCGAGCGTGTCATCCTCCAAACAGGTTGGGTTGGTCTAATAGATGTTTTTCTACTTCCTATTGTATTTTTTGTCTGCTATTCACTCTTTTTCAGAACCTCAGTCTTACAAGGAGGCATGTCAAGATCCTTATTGGGTTTAAGCTATTGAGGATGAGTTTGGTTGCAAATGAGTCTACAAAGTCAATACTCATTCTGATGGGTCTCTTGAGCGCCACAAAGCTCGTCTGGTTGCCAAAGGTTTCTCTCAGGAGTATGGTATTGATTATGAGGAGCAAGGTTCTGAAAAGCGGTTGCGGTCGCCGTAATGGCGGCGGTGGAGCGGTTGTGAGGTATAAAGGTCATAGTGTAACGGTTGCGGCAACCGGAACCGTGAATTTTTTTAGTTTTCGCACAATTTGAAAAAAACTTACCGATACGCATATTTTTTTTTTATGATCATATTTATTGGGTTTTAAAATAAATATTGATAAATTTTTAAGTATGATTCAATATATTTCATATTTTTAAATCACTATAAACTGAGTTTTTTACATTTTATTTTAATAATTAATGACTTTATATTATACAAAAAATCAATCACTAACTATTATGTATAAGATAAACAATGACAAAAGTAAGAGAATAAATAAGAGCCTAAATATATATATATATTTTAATCAAGCCAAATAGATAATGACCACACTTATTATTATTATTATTATTATTATTATTATTATTATTTTCAAATAATATATAGATAGACACACAAACAAAATAGTTGAGTGATAGCAGCTGAATAGAACAGCATAGGTCTTACAGTTTCAACAAATCAATAACATGTTCTTTACATCCTCGACACTCATAAATCTGACTTCTACCAAATATATTGTTACGCACTGTTACGATCGCTACGGCAACCGCTATGGCCGATATACCTGTGAATCTCAATCACACTGCAAAAGTTGCGGCCGCTTTTTAAAACCTTGATGAGGAGACATTTGCTCCTGTTGCCAAGATGACTACTGTCCGTACTTTGATCTCTGTCGCTGCTATTCGTTCTTGGCCTCTTTATTAGATGGATGTTAAGAATGCTTTTCTTAATGGTCATTTCACTGAGGAGGTTTACATGCGTCCTCCCCCTGGCCTTTACCATTCCTCTGGCCAGGTTTGTCATCTTCGGTGTGTTCTGTATGGTCTGAAGCAGTCTTCTCGTGCTTGGTATGATCGCTTTCAGACTGCTGTTACCGAGCTTGAGTTTCATCCTTCTGTTTCCGACTCTGCTTTATTTATGAGACATACATTGGCTGGTTTTGTGGCCCTCTTACTCTATGTAGATGATATGATCATCACTGGCTCTGGCTCCTCTGCTATTTCTGAGGTGAAGCAGCATCTCTTCCGCTTCTTTGAAATGAAAGATTTGGGTCCATTACGGTATTTTCTTGGTATTGAGGTTGCTTCTTCTCCAAAGGGCTATTTTCTGTCTCAGGCTAAGTATGCTAATGAAGTCATTCACCGTGCTGGTCTTACTGATACTAAGATTTCTGATACACCTATTGAGCTTAATGTGAAGCTTAACTCTACTGATGGTGTCCCTCTGGTTGATCTCACTTCATATCGTGAGCTTGTGGGTTGTTTAGTTTATCTAACTGTCACTCGCCTTGATCTTGCTTATGCTGTTAATGTGGTTAATCAGTTCGTTTCTTCTCCTCGCTCTACCCATTGGGCTGTTTTGGTTCACATTCTTCACTATCTCAGGAGTACCATCTTTCAGGGCTTATTGTTGTCCTCTACTTCATTTTTGGACTTAGTGGCCTATGCTGACTCTGATTGGGCTAGTGATGTTACTAATCGCAAGTCTACGTTTGGTTTTCGTATGTTTCTTGGTAATTCCTTGATCTCTTGAAAAAGAAAGAAACAATCAATCTTTGCTCGCTCTACTGTCAAAGCTGAGTATCGTGCTATGGCTCATGCCACTGCTGAGATTGTTTGGCTTCATTGTCTCTTGCCTGATTTGGGTGTCTCTCAGGCTTCTCCGACCTCTTTCTATTGTGACAACCGTAGTGCTGCTCAGATTGTCCACAATTAGGGATGTAATTTTGGCTGGGCCCGGCCCATATTGGGCCTTGGGGGCTCCAGCCAAAAATTAGGCCCGGCCCATGGGCCAGAAAATTAGGCCCAGGCCCAAGCCTAGGCCCAGGGGTATTCGGGCTTTGGGTGGGCCAGTGGGTCGGGCCGTTGGGCCTAGGCAGGCCTAGGCTCGGGCATGGGGCGGGCCTAAACAAATTTTGTTTAATTTTTTCCACCAAAATTTTATTATTTTTCATTAAAAATAACACTCGGTCTCGGGCCGGGCTTTTGAGTGGCCTTGAACGGGCCAATGGGCTAGGTTTCAAAATGATGGCCTAGGCCTAAGGCCTCAGGCTCGGGCCTAAACGGGTCGGGCCCACCCTGGGCCATGGGCGGGTTTCGGGCCGCCCACGGGCCACAGGTGAATTTTACACTCCTACCCACAATACTGTCTTCCATGAGCAGACGTAACACATTGGTTGTGTTTGATTGGACAGACTAGATAAGGGGGGATTAGAATCCATCGAACTTGAATCCTGGGACTGTGAATCCCTCGGACTATTTGGTTGGATTGGATATGTATCCCGTGTTTGTTTTTTTCATGGGATTAGATGTCTGAAAATGACTATTTTTGGTGAATCTAATATTTGGTTGGACGGACTGGATAAGATAAATGAACAAAAGACTATTTTATCCTTTTTCAATTGTTTATTAAGTAATAGCAATATTAAACATATCTTTAATATTTTAATTATTTTTAGCTAGATTAAATAAAAATTTGAATCCCTCGGACTATTTGGTTGGATTGGATATGTATCCCGTGTTTGTTTTTTTCATGGGATTAGATGTCTGAAAATGACTATTTCTGGTGAATCTAATATTTGGTTGGACGGACTGGATAAGATAAATGAACAAAAGACTATTTTATCCTTTTTTCAATTGTTTATTAAGTAATAGTAATATTAAACATATCTTTAATATTTTAATTATTTTTAGCTAGATTAAATAAAAATTTATATTATTTTATTTTTTACACAATTAAATGAATTTATTTTTTAAAAATAAAATAAATAAAATATCAATAAAAATATATGTTATTTTTTTAATTAAAATTTTAAATAAATTTGTTTTTAAAAATAATAATAATTAAACAATGAAATTAAATAAAACATTTATTAAATTTAAATAATGAAATTAAATAAAATATAAACAAAATTTTAAAATAAAACATCAATAAAATATCTATAAAAAATTATTTTAAAAAAAGTAAGTAAATAAATAAAACATCAATAAAAAGTTAAATAAAATTATTTTATTTTTAAATTGAGACATTTAAATTTTATTGAATTTTATTAAATATAATACATAATTAAATAGTAGAGGGTCAAAATGGTCATTTTACCATCTAATCCCAACAGTGGATAGTTGCCCAAAAATTGTCCCACACCCCCCCAGGATACAATAGTCCCCCATATCAGGGATAAGGAGTCCGACAGGACTCCATGTCCGGCGGACTAAAAAAAAACAAACGGCGGATTGGATGCTTCCCTTGAATTACAATTCGCACAGTAAATAGTCTCCCCTTATCCCCCCAATCAAACACACCAGTTGAGATTGATTGTCATTTTGTTCGCCAGCATCTACAGTCTGCTTCTATCTCGCTTCCTTTCATTCCTTCGGTTTTGCAACTTGCGGATTTCTTTACCAAGACTCATACTACCGTCGATTTCAGTTTCTTCTTAGCAAACTCTCAGTATTTTCTGCTAAAACACCTTAAGTTTGAGCGGGGGTGTGAGAATATATTGTGAATCTTACAAATTAGGCATGATTGTGGTTGTACATATTAGAGTCCTATTAGAGGCGTAATTGTATTAGAGTCCTATTAGAGGCATGAATGTATTTTCCTTTTGGGTTTAGGAGTTAGGGCTATATAATTTAAGGTCTGATTGTAATCAAATATACAATTGAATATACAGAAATACAGAAAGCTTACAGCGGGTACTATAGAGGAAATAGAAGAGTATGTGTAACATAATATTAAATTGTGTAACTAATTCTTTGTTAAATTGGTTATCCATGTCAACTTTGTGTTGTGCAGGTTCAACACTAACTCGATCTATTTAATATTTGTTCTATCGGGTCCTATCATATAGATGTCCATGTCGGAAAATAATCAACCCCAACCTGCTAACTTCCTGTATGGTTTGAGTGGTGTCGAAAATTCCCACCCTTAGATAAGACTCCATTTTGTTCTTCGCAATCAGTGTCTATTGTACCATTCTAGTCAGGGTTTACTTCTATTTGAATTATTTTAATTTTACATAAAATTGGTACTTTCTTGTCTTGCAGTCACAGAGATGTGTATGAAGTGGATTATTGCTATGAGCAAAATGAAGACAATGGTATGATATTTTCAAGAGAGATAAAACCTGTGATTTCAAAGGTTTTTGATGGTCATAATATTGCAATTATTGCATATGGAGCCAGAGGCAGTGGGAAGACCTACACAATTCAGGTGACTTATATATTTATCTACTTATTTATTGAGATGCTTTCACATTTAGCCATATTTTTTTGGTAATGCTTACCTTTTTTAACGTCTGTGCAACTAAAGGGTACCGAGGAGAAACCAGGATTGGCAGCACTAGCAATTGCTGAAATTCTCTTGATGGCTGAGGACACTGAAAATTTGGTTGCCATATCTTTCTATGAGGTGTTTCAGGACCATGTTTATGATCTCTTGGAACCCACACGACCAGAAGTGCAAGTATTGGAAGATGCCCAAGGAAAAATTAAGCTTAAAGGGCTCTCTAAGGCAAGTTGTTTGGTCTCTTTTCCTTTTAGTATTGCTGTCATTATTACTCATTTTCAAGAACTGCAATATTGAGTTTATATATAAACACTGTATAACAGTGCTTTTACTTTCCCTTTATAGGAATATGTGAAATCCGTTTCTGCATTTCAGAAGTTATACTTCATTGGGTGTAGTTCTCGTCCAGCCATGCAAAAAATACCATTTGAACCCCCAAGAAAGAGTCACAAGGGTTTGATAATACGCATTTTATCTAACAATGAAAAGTCAAATGCTAAGCTTTTGGGAAAGATAACTTTTGTTGATTTAGCAGGTTCTAAACTACTAAACTTGTAACAAGATCCTATTTTTATGTTCTCGTGCTATGGATAATATGTATTTTTAAAATTTCTTATTGTTTACCATCTTACTAGGCTATGAGGATGGCAGAAGAAAGAATTGTGAAGGTTTCAATATTGGTGAGAGTAGTAGAGTCAATAAGTCGTTGTATGCCTTACTAAATGTTATGTATGCCTTAAATGCCAATCACACCCATCTGCCATACCGGGAAAACAAATTAACTCGTATGTTACAAGATTCTTTTGGTGGCACAAATCATGTGCTGATGCTTACCTGTTTGGTAAGGCTTTTGATAATTGACTTTATAAGGTTTTCTAATTTGTAAATTTTTATTTATTTATTGCAGTAGTCTTTAATTAATTAATTTGTTTATATGCAGAACCCATTCTTTTGCCAAGACACTATCTACGCAACAGGTTTAGCTTCTAGATCATGCCAAGGATCCAATCGAGTTTTCACAAACTCAACAAAGAAAGTTAAAGGTTCAGACACTATCTATGCAACAGGTTTAGCTTCTAGATCATTCCAAGGATCCAATCGAGTTTTCACAAACTCAACAAAGAAAGTTAAAGGTTCAGCCAAACCAATGGTACTTTCTTCATTAACCAAAGAAAAACTTGGGATTGTTTCTTCTACTGTGAAGAAATCAACCAGCTCCAAAGCATATTTCTCTAAAAAGAACACCAGTAGTCTGGAAAAGGGAAGGTATTGGATTATGGGTTTCTATTATATTATATTAATTCAAACTTGATTGTTATTTACATATTTAGTGACATATTTGCTTCTTTTCTGCTTGAAGGAAGCTCTTTGATGAAGGAAATCATCTGTCGAACCCTGAACAGGTAGTCATCTATCCTTTGCTTCCTCCCACAGGGAGGGGGGTGGTGGGGGTTGGAGGGACTTTTGTCAAAGTTTGAAGGACTAACAATATAGCATGTGAAGTTAGACACCTTTTGGCTGTGCTTGGAAGTGTTTTGAAATTATAGTTCCACCCTTACATTCTAGTATGAGGTTTGGTTTGAGTTTTGGAATGTTAATTCCACCCCTTCTTTTGAAAACTCATTTTAGGTGGGCTTTTAAATTTTGAAATTTGGCCTACCGGTTGTCCACCCGGACGTCCGGCCGGTTGACCTGAACAGTGTGATTATTTTATTTATTTATTTTTTTTTTTTTTGGCAATTGGCACTTGTATGTGTGTGTTTTTTTATATATATATATTTTTAATAAAACAATATTTTTGGAATTTTTAAAAATTTCTTATGAGGTTTTAATAGATTTTTAAGCTGTATATTTGGTTATAAGGTGTAAATTTTTGTATCGGATATCATATGGCACATCAAAAATCCCCCACTCAATTCAAAACTCTTTTACCAAACAAATTTTCTACACTCAAATCATAATTTCAAAACTCACAAATTCAAAATACAACTCCTATTCTCAAATCATATTTGGAAAACTCTACCAAATGTTACCTTTATTTTTTCTTTACAAGTTCCTTTTCATTTTTATTTTTTTCTACTATTATTATTTTGCATAATTAAATTTGTGTCGGTGGAAATCTCAAACTCATTTGGAATAACCTTTCTAGTTTCTACAGCATATTTTGATTAACATGTTTGTTAAGTTTGAACTGCTAGATACGAGTGAATTTTTATTGTTATTTTATGCTGTACAATCATGTCTTGGGGTTTGGGAAACTTCAGTTAGTTATGTAGGGATCAGCTATGACAGCTAATTGTGAAATCTAATGTTAAAACCTACCATCACCTACTCCACCTACTACACCTACCACCACCTACTACACACCTACCACTACCACCTACTACCACCTACTCCACTACATCTCCTATATAAGGAGCCCCTCACCATTTGTAATATATAATATACATCAATTAATATTACATCAATTTTAACATGGTATCAGAGCAGGTTTAGAACCTAATATTTTCGCTTCACCGGCGGGCGGCAACCTCACCTTAGCCGTCCGCCGGACCTCAACCTAATCCACTTATTTTCTACACATACCTTCACTTTCCTGAACCTTCCCACACAAAATCCTCTTGGCGATGCTGATGATGCTTGCACAGTTGGTGGATCAACTATTTGTTGCAGCATGTAACAAACCCCCCGTGTTTTGTATCATCACTGAGTATTTGGCTGTGGG